GATGAACGTTCTACCTCTAATGTAATTTTAAAATGTAGAATGGTTTAAAAAATGTGTGAACCACTATCACGGGATATATGTCATGTGACAGCAACACACAACTCTACAGGAAGCAGAAGACTCAAGAAAAGGGGGGGGCTTTCTCTAGTGTGACCCCCAAGGCCCTGCTGCTGTGAGATAACTTTCTCACAGATATTCCAGCTCTTTGGTTAGGTCTCCAAGGGCTTCCTGCGCAGATGTTGAGGGCAAGTAGCCTGTGTTCAAACATACAAATATTGACTAACATTGGTCTGCAGCTTTCATTCTAGTGGCATAATGTGTAGTGTCGCCTGTTGGTTGAAGGAGCTGTTTTTATGGGTAGTGTTTGCTAGGCTGCAGAGGAAGTCACTTTTGCACTCTGGTTCCTATGTTGTGGCCAATGTGTGTATCGGTTGCAGAAGTCCAGGAAAAGAGTAGAAAGCCAGTGGTTTCCTCTGAAGTGGCCAGTCAGCAAGCAAGGGAGACGAATGTTAAAAAAGTGATTCAAACTACAAGATGTATTTCAGTGAGTCGGAGCAGCTGGCTGCTGAGCTGGAAGTCAGGACTTTGAATCCACAGGGAGTCTCTGGGCTGGGTGGGTGCAGCCAATATCACCTATGCTGTGTGGGGGATGATGGGACCGTGCCTCCTGCCATCTGTGCAGCTTCAGCAAGAGGCATGGTGTCAGACTGCCATCTGAAGGAGGGACTGGAAACCTCTTCTGAATAATATTTACTCTAGAAAATCTTGGGAGGGTTGCCATTAGTCAGAGTTGACTGGATGGTGTGTAGTTATTAAATTATTATTTAAGTTAGCAGTGTGCACAGAAAGCACTGGCATTTAAACTGGAGATAGAGAAGTGCTGTCGCTTGAGAATGTTTTCCAGTTTCCCCTCTCCCTTCAGCCCTCACCAATTGACACACAAGTGTTCCAAGCTTTCACAAGTTACAGACTTTCAAATATTTGTTTGCCACTTGTCAAATCTTCCTTGTTGTAGCTGCCTCGTTGTTTTGCCATCCCCATTCAAAGAAGGCTGTTTAAAGCAGCCAAGAGCGAGTCTCCCCTTTAAAGTTTGGGGTGTTGTGGAATTATATGTAGGTGATGGTGGGAAGACAGTACTTGGGCTTCAAGATAGATTTTAGCTTTAGCAAGATATATTTTAGAATAAACCTAATGGGATAGCTCTTCAAGTGCAGTTAATTTGGTTCTTACTAAAATCAGTGGCTCTTAAGTCCTAACTCACTTGTCCCTACTCTAAGTGATGTTTAAAGTCAAGGGATTTAATCCGGACCTGAGCATGTATGTTGTAATATTGAGAATGTTTGACCAGTTTTCTCAAGTTTATCTCATTCTGAACCTTTGTACTCCATTGTGTAGAGATGGCAAATGATCCCCCACCTCCCCACATGCACACACCTTTTTCATAGATTATTTTGGTCTCTGTTGCTCATAGAAGGAGAAACAATCTCTAGCTTGTCCGCCTTCTGAGTATGAATGCCTTAATTTTGAGTACTGGTAGTATAATGCACTCTTCTCCTCTTTGGTCTCCATCTTATTTCCATAACTGCCATTTTCTTCAAACTGTGTGTGCAAATGCTTCTTCAAATAAATAAATAAATAAATAAATAAATAAATAAATAAATAAATAAATAAATAAATAAATAAATAAATAAATAAATAAATAAATAAATAAATAAATAAATAAATAAATAAATAAATAAATAAATAAATAAATAAATAAATAAATAAATAAACAAACAAACATTTATTTATTTATACATACATACATACATACATACATACATACCCTACCCATCTAGACCAAAGTCTACTCTGGGTGGCTCCTCAGAAATAGTTCTCAGAAGTGCCTGGAGCATGTGAGCTGGCAGTTACCATAGAAGGGAAAGCCCCACGGATGCAATTAGGTATAAGGTCAGGCACCTCTCCGAATAGTTCTTCCTCTTTCTCATTTTTATTTGTAGGTGGCATTTGTCTGGGTTTAACTTCTGGTGTTTAGGCTTTTTAAAAAAAACATGCTGTGGAAACCCACTCTTCCCTTACCTTGTAGAGCAAGTTCTTGTTTATGATGATTTGACTTGTTACCACAGATATATAGGGTCTCTGCAGAAGATTAAAGTTGAGCTGTCCATTAAAATTTCAGAGATAAAATAATGAAACAGTCTTGTTTTGAAAGAGTCATCACTTTGGTTAGAATGGCATTTCAGGTTAAGGAACAAAACATTTAAAACAGAAGACAGTGAGCACATTTATCTGGCCCTACTGATAATTTTAGTAGGGATGTGGTGGTGCTGTGGGTTGAACCGCAGAAGCCTCTGTGCTGCAAGGTCGGAAGACCAGCAGTCGTAAGATTGAATTGAGGCGACGGAGTGAGCTCCCGTTGCTTGTCCTAGCCCCTGCCAACCTAGCAGTTCGAAAGCATGTACATGCAAGTAGATAAGTAGGTACCACCACAGTGGGAAGGTAACGGCATTCCATGTTTAGATGCGCTGGCCACGTGACCACAGAAACTGTCTTTGGACAAACGCTGGCTCTACGGCTTGAAGACGGGGGTGAGCACCGCGCCGTAGAGTCGGACACAACTGGACTAAATATCAAGGGGAACCTTTACCTTACTGATAATTTTATTCTTTACTTCACATGTAAGGAATATAAGGCTGATGGCTGTGATCAAGACATTTTGTTTGGAACAAGATCAAATTGTCCTACATTTTTTATGGAGCAAAAGTAGTCAGGTTGAGCTATCAGAAAACACTCCGCTTGACAGTACTGTTAAGATGAATGAAAGGGAAAGCTTTTATGTTTTCTAGAACTGTTCTTCTGTGCAGTGGCTAAAAGCTGCTATATATAAGGGCCGAACTGTTGTATTTTTGAATTCACATTTTGGGTCTGTCTTCCATGTCAGTCTCGTATTGTCCAGAAGAAAAACACTGCCAGGCCTGTATGAGTTGGGGGATTTATAGATGGTTGCCCAAGGCCAGAGCTTTTTGGTGTGGAATGGAGTTGCTTGATCCATGGTATTCCTTGGTTGGGGCAGTCCTGGCATAGGAAGCAACAGCTACCCAAAATAGCTGCCAGGAAGCTTGGGAAAAGTATAAAACAGCTTTTGGCTGCCTGTTATTGACAGCGTAATCATGTGTCTGGCTACTCAGAAGAAAGTCCCATTTAGTTTGCTGGTGCAGTAGTCCCCAACCTTTTTCGTACCGCGGACCAGTTGCGGGGTGCAGGCTCCATGCGCAGGGGGGCGGGGACACCCCCCGCGCTTGTGGTTGGGCTTGGTATACTTGCAGAGGGGCGTGTCACGCTCGCAGAGGGGCGTGTTGCATGCATGTGCGTGAGCCCAACACGCCCCTCTGCAAGCATGACACTCCCACCGTGCATTGGGGCGCAGAGATCAGTGTCCGCGGCCTAGTTCAAGGAAGGCTGCGGACTGGCACCGGGCCATCAACCAGGGGTTGGGGACCCCTGTGCTACTTCTAGGAAAATGAGTATAGGATAGTAGCCCAAAGAATTTACTGCGGGAATGGAACAATTAAACTAAATCAGAGTTACTGCAGTGTTTCTAGATGAGGTTACATGATTTTTAGTATCCAAAATAATAGTGGAAGAAAGAAGTCCTTAAATGATACATGGTTAAGTCCTATTGAGCAGTTGTGTAGGATAAACTAGAAGTTGTGTAACTGGTGTGTGCAGTTATTCTGGCTGTCGGTTATGCACTTGGATGTACCTGGCGCATGCAACAAACAGGCATGAAATAGCAAAACATACAGTTCCTCTCATGCGCGCAGTAATCTTTCCCATGTAGCCGTGGATTCAGTGGAATCTTCGTAGGCAGCTGCTAACAGGTGAACTGGTTTACCACCTTTCTGTGAAAATCTTCCCCTAGTGATTCCAGCATATTAGTAGACAAAATCTTCCTGGGCATAAAGTGCTTGCCAACATATCTGCACAACAGGCTGCCATTAAAAGGACAAGAGCAGGGCAAGCTGTGTTAAGTTTGTTTGTCTCTTAAAGAGTCAGCAATATAATTTAAACGGGTTGACCATGGTCACCCTGAACCTATGCTTTGAAAAGCTCCTCTTAAGGTGTGTGAGAAGATGCAGTTATTGTGCTGACTTTCACTTTCCATCTAGTGTGGCCTAACAGTGAAACTGGCATGCCACAAGTTGGACAGGGGAGGCCGATCCTAACTCCAGTGGCTGCATCCTGCCTCATTGCCTTGGAGTTTTAGCTGGCAACCCTACAGAGGATTCAGGCTTGGCTAATGGAAAGCTTTGCATGCTTACTCCGAAGTAAGTTCTGCTAAGATAATTGGGATTTGCTCTCTGGTAACTTGGCCTGAATTGAGGTCAGACCAATAGTAAGGGCAGAAGTCAAGTACTACATGTAAAAAAAAAAAATTCTCAAACCTCTCAATTTTGTTTGCAATTTTTTTTAATTTGCAACATAAATTCAAAACTTACATTGAATTGTCTTTGGAACCTGAAGTGTTCTCAATACAGTATATCCAAACTTTCAGAACTCGGTATAGAGGAATGGGTGTGAAATGTCAATTAAATGTATTGCCAGTTAATACAGAAATGGAAGTGTACTTCTTTCCCCCACCCCCTTCTGACCGAAACTCAGCACCTCAGTGGTCTTGTGCTTGCCCAGTTAGGGCTGCATATGCAATCTTACGCACATGGCTTCACCGAGCTTACTTCCTGATTGGGCTTGTTAGACTGACACTTTATGCCGCTTTTTTCGTGAGTAGTGTCTTTTTAGAAGCTTGGTTTTCTTTGGGGTTGCTTTGCAAGCAGTTTGTTTATGTATGTGTTTGTGCATGAACACACACACACACACACACACACATTTTTGGGAAGAGGAAGTGGCGGATGTGAAGACTGCCACTTTTTAAGGAAGGATGTGAACAAGCAGCTTCTTAGAGACATCCATGCATGTTTTAATCTCCTCTGTGGTTTCAGAACTCCCCTAGGAGCCTCTCTGGATGATCAGAGCAACCCTGTGTTAAAAGGTAAGGAGCCAATATTTTAAGTGTTCTGTGTGGGTTTTTTTCCCCCTTCTTCTGAAGGCACAATAATAATGCAAGGCATAACTTTGAGTTGACCCTGCTTGGAAGCGGTTGAGACAGTCTTGTTCCTTTGCAGTACTGTATTTGCAGGCCGGAGGAATGATCTGAGGTTTGAACAGTTAAGGAATTTGTAATCACTTGTTCCCAAGTGATAAAAACCGGGCAGACTGTGTGTGCCTATGAGAGGGAAAGAGAGAGAAGGAATTTGTTGATAAGCAGTACACTGTGAAGTAGGTCAACCTTTTGGTACAATCTTTCTTGGCTTGCTGTGACTGAACTTGCCACACCTGAAAAGTTACCTGAGCAAATCAGAATGCAAAAGTTCAAAGTACAACAAGAACCTGCAGGTAGCAACAGAGCATATAAGAAGCCTTTGCAGTAGCTGGAGCTCCTTTTTTTGAATACACAGAGGCAGAGAGGGAATGTTTGAACCAGGCTGTTTCTTGGGCTTGAAACTCCCTGGTAAGAGATCTGAATCGTCGCTTTAAGATGCAGTTTTTCTATTGCATTATAGTTGGTGGAGCAGAACAGGAGGAGTGTGGTGGTCCTTGTGGATCTGAAATTGTTGCTTTCTTTAGCTTGAGAGCAGAGCTGTTTGCAAGTATTCCCCCCCCCCCAGTCCCTTGTCTTGTAAGACCAGCTTGGCATGTTCAGGATAGCAACATCAGTCAGATTCAGACCTTTAGTGGCAGCATTGTAGACTTGTCCCCAAACCTCACTAACTTCACAGTTTTAGTATTATTATAATAATGTTGTTTTTAAAGATTATCAGATTGCTTTGGTTTTATGTGAACCATACATTGACAATAACTGGAAAGCAACTATGGCTGTAGATGTTGATCTTGCCAAACCCCCTCTTTTCAGGCATGCTGGTGAAAAATGGAGGAAGTTTCGAAGATGACTTATCACTGGGAGCAGAAGGTGGGTGTGGCATTAAATACATGATAACTTCTTTCACCTTAAAAAAAAATCAGTTAAAATCCAAAGAATATGCATGTTCGTCTGATTTGAACTATATGGGATGCATTGTTTGAAACTTTGTGGGGGGGGGCACCCTTGATTAAAAACAAAATTCAGCAAAAAGGCCTTTTTTCAATGTGATGTACCAAGTTGACGCGCCTATAAGCTAGTTTAAGTACTCAAGATGTGATGTAACTGCTCTTTCCTGCTTTGTGTTCCACTGATGTTCCAGTATTAAACCTAAGACCTTTCCTGTTCCTCCCACGTGGGGTGGGAGGGGGGTAAATTGTAAAGTTTACAGTTCCTTCAGTCATGCTTGCACATGGAAAATCATCATTTTGATTTAAGGGCACTTATAATATAAAAACATCTAAGATGACTGTGGTTAGGCCTTAACCTGAAGCCATTTCTTGTTAGTGTAATATAGTGTGTCTGAATGAGAACCTCCATAACCACAACCAACTACCACACATGTGAGCTTTGAGAAAATATGCCATTCTTTTCTAACTTTCAGCCTTGCCATGAAGAGGAACAGAACTATTTTAGTTTATTTATTTATTTATACCCCGCCTATCTGGTCAATACGACCACTCTAGGCGGCTAATATGGAAAGTCACTTTTTAAAAAGCAATTAATTATGTAACTCATTGCAACAGTACTTGAATTATTTGTTATTCTTTAATGTCACCCCCCTTTAATAATCAGTTGTATTATTTATTACATTATTCATCATTTCTAAGAAGCACAACTTTTGCATTGATAAGAGAAAGGCATGATCACTTGAAAACGTCTTCTCACAATCCCTTCATTAGTAACTTAAAAAGCAATTTGAAAATATTACTTGTAACACCAAAATGGGGTTTATTAATTATATGACTTCTGGTATGTGACTTTTTTACACCCTCTTTAACCTCCCCTTGTAACTTGTTCTTTCTAAGCTATGAACAGAACAATCCTGTCCACATTTACTTAGAATTAAGTCCCACTGTGTTCCGTGTGCTTACTCCCTTATAAGCATGTTTCTAGAGTTGTAGACTAAGTACTGTTTTTGGATGTATGTCAGATCTACCAGTATTCTACAGTATATGGCAATAAAAACATACATACCATTTTTTCACTCTTTCATGCTAATTTCAGGACAATCGTCTAATAAAATTGAAGCATAATCTCAAAAAGCGCATGATGTAGTAGCTAAGTTGTGCAGACATGAGTCTGTTCAGCACTTGGCTAGGAGGTCCCTTAGGACTCAAATTATGTACCTTTTAGTTCTTATAGAAGAAAGTGGAACATATTGTATGATTAATATTGGTAAAATTATTTTTTGTACTATTTTTATATGCTGCTTTTGTTTTACGTTTCATTTTCATTGTTTTTATCAGAATGTTTGGCTATGCATTAGGTAAATAACTATATCACTATCCTTTGTATTGTCCTTGTAATCTCTAACATCCCCATAGTTTTTTTATTTGGTTAAATGTTTTAATGTTTTTGTTTTTGTTTGTAGTTTTATTTGTATATATTTTATTTACTGTTATAAACCACCCAGAACAATGCTTTGCACTAATGGGGCAGTAAGTAAATAAATATTACAGGTTACAGAAAGAGAAATGGTGCTTAGAGAGCGGGTTGCCAAAAGTCACTCGGTATGTTAACATCTGAGCTGATGGATACCTAGTTCATAGGTCCCAGTCTTATTTCTATTATTTTATTTATTTATTATTCTGACTTTTATACCACCCCCTTAGTGTGAACACTTTCTGGGAGGTTCACAACCCATCAAAACACAATACAATAATCATACAAACCTATAACCGCAAAATACAATAAAAACCCTGTCACTAGCTAAATCACTCTTCTGATTTTTATCCCAAATTTGCTACATTTTCTCTCATTTTTTCTGGCTGGCTTGAATGTTGTTTCAAGAGAGGAATTTGAGAACAGTGTTTGGACCATTCTTAGGCAAAAACGGTCATCATCCATTCTCTGTCTAGGACAAATTTGATATCATTCTTACACAGCTAGTTGGTGATCAGCTGATGTTGTGGAAAGCAAATATAGATAGTATTCTGGAGTTCAGAGGAAGTAGGTAGACTGCCACAAGATAATCTGTCTGATAGACCAAGACCAACGCTTTGCATTCTTGTAATATTAGAAGTGGAAGCTACTCTTCTCCGTTTTCCCTGCTGCCTTGAAGCATTTGGGAACAAGATCATCTTATCTGGGTTTATAAAGTCTGTCTTGTTGTTGGGATCAGGCTTTTGATGAGAAGAATACTGGTGGCATTGTTCTTTTTAATGAATTCCAGAGTGCTAGAGTAAAAGGGAGTTTATCCAACATTTCGTTTAATCTAGGGGAAAATAAGTGAAGTATTGTTTTTCCTTTCATAAGATTTTATTGAAGGAGAATACTTACATCAGAAAGTTTCCTTATGACAGACCTTTACCTCAGATTCCTGTGCTTACTGGAATAAGCAATCTATTTTCACTGTCTTTGGTTTGATTTCTTTGATTTCTGACCACAGTTAATCATTTTTAAATATATAAAATAAACAGCATACCAGAATGACCTTCACATCAACATTTAAGGGACAGACACTGAAGAATGAGATGCCAGGATGTGGCGAGACGTTCATGGCTCATTCTTGGCTCAGTTGAAGCTTTACCTCAGGGCTGCTTCCTGCCTTACAGTTATAAACAGCCCACTTCTGGAATGGCATTCAGCTTGTGACTTGCAGTCAAATGTGCAGACTCAGAAAGCTTGCTACAGCTAAATTACTTTTTTCGTTACTTGAAAGTGTAGTGGTACAGTATTATAGTGTCACAGGACTAGGGAACGTATGTCCCTTCCAATGCCACGGAGCTGTATCTCCAACTTTCCCTTGCCATTGGCTGTGTTGCTTAGGGCTGAGGTGTGTTGCGTAGTTCAGGAACAACTGGAACATCATACATTCTACCGTCTGGGTATACGAAGACCTGCTTTTCTTCTTCTATTATTGATCTGGTTCAAGGCAAAATTTTGCAAATTGAAAAACACATGAAAGCATTTTAGAACAACCCATTTGATGAAATACCATCATAGCAGAATGGTAAATGAAAAAGTAGAAAATATACAGTAGTATCTATACATTGGCTAATGGGGTCTTTCAAAAAGCTTTAGAGCTCAGTTACCGGTATCTCTCCAGGTCATACATTTGCGTTACACTCATGGAAGTCTTTACAGCTGGGTGAGGTGAGCAAGTGCAAGAGTTCCAACATAGAGGTGAACCAAACAGGAATCTGTCGTTATCTTCCAAGGCGATTTTCCATCCTCTGCACTGCACAGCCAGGGCTAAGGGAGTCGTCCTGAGATTATGGGCTCCCAATCCTGTAGATCGTTTTTATCTTATATCTAAGGGATGCTGTTCTTAGTTTCAGAGTAGGAGGACAATTAAGCTGGGATATTTCCTTAAAAAACTAATCCATGCCTTTTGTGTTAAAAGCATCAAGCTTTCTATAATTATTCAGGGATAATACTTAAACATTTGCAGATACACATCTTTCTGCATGAGTACTTGTGTTTTGAAATAACCAGCTTGTTTGAAGCAATATGTGTTTACACCATCATATAGAGAGTAACAGGAACAGTGTTATTTGTTGCATGAATGGACTGTTGTTCTGTTAGTCGTTAATTATATACATTTCCCCCTTCCCTCTCTTTCAGCTAATCAGCTGCATCAAAGTAGTGAACAAATGGAAATCTGGTAAATATTCACACTTCTGCTTTTAGGGTAATGCTTTATATGCGGTGAAAGTACTAGCCTGTTTTGTATAAAACATTAATTTATCTCATGAATGTGTCACTGGAGATACAAATATGTGGGGCATGAAGGACACTTTTCATACCATCTCTACACCTGAGTTTAGCAAATATCAGATATGCAGGGGTGTTAATTCAGCTCACTCTGACATTCCAGATACCTGTAGGAGCGTGTAAGAGGTTTCCATTGCCAAATAAGATGGAGTCCTATACTTTTTAAAAAGTGTCCTAGAATCTGGTGTATGCCTAAGTGGTGGTGGTTCCTGGAGGTGTGAAGTCATAGTCTGTGACTAATGTTTGGATGCAGCAGCTGGAAGGAGTAAAAAATACTGCACAAAGTGCTTCTGTATTGAAGAGAGAGAGAGAGATTAAGGAGATTTTGAATGCATCTCATTAAAAATGGGAATTCACATGGCTTGTTTTTCCTAAACATGTGCAGTTTGGGAGCCGTTTCTTAGGCTTAAGTAAACTTTTGGACTTTAAAAACCTGGGGAAAGGACAGCTTTGTAAGGGAACCACCCCTAGCAGGCCTTTTGATTGTAGACCTGCTGAAGCTGCTTGGCACTAAACACTTGATCAGCAAGATATGCAGGAGCTCTTTCAAGCCTTAGATCTCTCTCTCTCTCTCTCTCTCTCTCTCTCTCTCTCATATGCTTCTTGTGAAGCTAAGAGTAGGAATTCAGGAGATAGTTCTTCTGCTTCTTTTTTCTATGGCATCCAAACTGGGGGTTGTGGTTAGTGCTAAGTATGGTTATTTTCTTCTAGTCTAGCTTTAGAAATCATGATTTGAAGGCACAGTGTTTGAAATAAACAAGCCATTGTTTAAATTAACCACAGTTCTTGTGCAAGAGTATGAAGGAGGTGTAAGGAAAAGTGAAAGCAAGAGCGTCCAGTTCCTTTTGGAGGGGGGGATGTGAAGAGTACACTCCAAAGCTAACTGCCACGTTCTACACTAAACTGTGATTTCATGTGATATGCAAATGCTGACTATCAGTAGTTGGCTTCTCACGGGATCAGGCTCATCCATAATATGCCAAGGAATGCAATCTCCTAATTGAATTCCCCCCCTGTTTAATTTATGATCTTGTTGAATTGTCAGGCATGCATTTTCTTCCTTGTATTTTTAAAATACCGTATGGCTTCAAAATAAAATTCCACATTAAAAAAAATTAAAATAGAAGAGGCCCCTGCATGTGGTAGGACAGTAGTTCTCAAAGAAAATAAAATCCCAGAGGGAGGAGTGAATTTCAAAGGAGTTATGCCTTGGGGTGAAATCCTGAAGTTGTCATTTCTGAATCGGAGGCTGTGTGTTGTTCCTCCATCCTCATTGCAAACCATAAAAGTGAAGTGTTTTCAAGAAAACAGGAAAAGTGTCACTTTAGATTCTAGATGTGGTCTGAAAAGAGGGTGGTACATTTGCCCTTTTTAAAATACTTTGCTTCATTTGTATTGTCAGTAATGGTATGTTGGCGAAGGACAAAAGACTTCAGTTTCATCAAAAGGGAAGAAGTATGAATTCCACTGGCTCAGGGAAGAGCAGTGCAACCGTTTCAAGGTAAGCAAAGAATGTATTGTGTGAGTATTGGAAGAGAGCCATGTTTTTCCTTATCCATTCTCTCTTTTGTCTTTTTGATAAAAGTTGCCAACTTAATTTTTGATGCTAGCTCAGTTGTCTGCCTTTTGCCCAGCCTGATAAATGTTGTCTAGTTGAGGTGTGTGTGCAGACTTGCAGTTTTTTGAGTTTGGGGATACTTTGGGCCATGCAGCATGCAGCAAAAGCAGCTGTATTGGTTATCCATCTGTCTGCCCTGTTAATATTATTAAACAAGGTTTACAGAAGGTGGGAAATGAGCTTTTCCATAGCTCTTGGTACTTCCCATTTCCTCAGATAGCTTCTCTTAACCAAGACTGGACAAAGAGAAAAGTCGTGTTTGGTACAGAAGGAAGGTTTTAGTTCTCTTTGCTCCTGTCCCTTTTCTAGTCTTGAAAGCAGACAGTGTACTTGTGATTATAAAAGGAATCCAAAGCCACACAACTGATGTATGGGTGCCCATTCACAGGTCATCTCTGTTTCTCTGATTTCAAGCTGGAACTCAAACACTATTGAGCTTTCATTATAAGACAGAATTTGGGAACCTGCCATAATCTTTGTCAGCTTCAGCAGAGTAATAACCAGTAGCTTTGGCACCCAGGACTTATTTGTCCTACTTACTGATTAAGCTTGTGCGTTATGAGATTGGCAGATATGGGGAGAGGATAGAGGAATGGGATCTGAGTATATGGCCACCCACATACAGTTTTGCGTTCCCTTCTTAATGGGAGAGGAGTCACTGGAATAGATACATGCATTTGAGACAAGTGGATTTGTACATTTCAGCATAGATTTAGATGCAACCAAATTGATATGGGGTTTTATCAAGCCAGTGCAGTTAGCAGGAACTGTACATCTGCAAATCTGAATCTGACTAGACTCTGAAGGTGGTCCTTGGCAGGCTGCTGTCTCGTAGATAAACTTTGAACAGATTTACAGGATTGTCCCAAGGATCAGAACAGATAAGGATTTATTGTATTCCAAAGCACCATGTGTGTGTTAATGTCTAGGTACCTAATTTATTGTAACTGATACTATATAAGGTTGTGTGTTATAGTATGTGAACCAACTGGATGCTTTGATACTTCAGTGCCATATGTTACTCCATCTCAGACAGCTCAATATCTTTGTCAGTTGCTGAAACCATGCAGCTCTTTCCTCTTTCTTAAAGGCTTGCAACTATAACGTAAATCCATGGAAGGTTGTGAACTTCATCTTGTACATAAACAGAGTGCATAGAAAGCAAGTGTGATGTTTTCTGTTTTTGCTTAGTGTTTCTGAACTACTGGAACTATATGAGGAGGATCCTGAAGAGATTCTCTACAATCTTGGATTTGGCCGAGATGAACCAGATATTGCTTCTAAAATTCCATCAAGGTTTTTTAATTCATCGTCCTTTGCCAGAGGGATAGATATCAAAGTGTTTCTGAATGCTCAGCTGCAACGCATGGAAGTGGAAAACCCTAATTTTGCTTTGACAAGTATGTATGTTAAATAAAGAGCATGTTATACTTTGGGAAACACTCAGAGAGCTTGCTCAGTGGGAGCTGTAGAAATGTGATGAAAAATACGTACGGACATATATAATGGGACATTGTATAAGCAACCTTGAGACATTTGCCACAAAGGGTATGATGTTGCCAGATCATTGTCTTATTGTGCAAGATACTGAAGATAGGGATAAATAGATCAAATTCCATTTGTTGGGAAGTCTCTTCAGTTCTGGACTTTCTGAGGAAAAGGAGCTATTGACCAATCACTTTCCCTACACCATCTCTTACTACCTTTTTCTCTCTTTGCTGTTAGTGAAGTAGGCTTTTCAAGGTTATGAAAGAGTCTAGATCAGTGGTTCCCAACCTTGGTTTGCTAGATGTTGGACCGAAACTCCCAGAAACCTTCACTACTAGCTGTGCTGGACACGTTTTCTGGCAGCTGTAGTCAAAGAACATCTGGGGACCCAAGGTTGAGAGCCACTGGTCTAGATAACACTTCCTTAAGAAAACGATAGATACTCTAAACCAGTGCTTCTCAAACTCAAGATTTCTGGATGTTTTGGACTTCAGCTCCCATTAACCCCATCTGTTATGACCATTGATCAAGGGTTCTGGGAAATGAGGTTCAAAATACCTGAAGGACCTGAGATTGGCAACCCCTGCTATGGACCAGAGTTTCCAGTCTGAGTTTCATCACCCCTGTCCATTGTCCATCATTGGTGTGGCTTATGGGAGTTGTAGGTGAAAAAATCTGGAGGGATCCATGTTAGAGAGGGCTGGTCTAGAAGCCTGAGGCCATGTTGAAAACAGAGCAAACAGTGATGGTGATAATGATACTGTACTTGGAGATGGAGTTGAGGAGATAATTCAGAAAAGGAGGTATGGAGCTGGTTTGAAAAGACAAGACAAGAGAAGAGTGTAAGGGGATGGGAGGGTTGTGTGCAAAAGCTATGGATGAGATCCCACTTCTCTCCCCTCTCTCTGAAGAAAAAAAAATAAGTTCCTTACCAAATATGTGCAAAGATATAGTTTCCCTCAGGTGAGCTGAAGTCATGTTTTCAAGATTGCCCCTGTGACTAATAGTAGCAACAACAACAACTTTCAATATAATAGTGGAGGTAATATTCTAAAAAAACGAACATTTTTCCTAATCCTGTCTGACCTCTCAGAGAAAGCAAAAAACTGTCCTTTAACATCAAGATTTATTTTATCAGCCACATTTTAGAAACAAAAATGTGTATATAATAAGGATGTCTGAGGGTCAAAACTCTGGCATAACCTTGGCTCTAATGTATTATTGTCCTGCCATTCTGTTTTCTGTTTTTACCTACTGTAAGTTCCAAGTTATTTGTAGCTTCATTATTGAATTTCACAATAGTGCCCATTGTTCTCTTTGCCATCTCTGGTTTGTCCTTTTGCCAGGTCGCTTTCGTCAAATTGAAGTGCTCACGACTGTGGCCAATGCATTCTCTTCCTTGTATTCCCAAGTTTCTGGCACTCCGTTGCAGAAAATTGGGAGCATGAATTCAACAGCTTCCAGCAAAGAGGCCTCCAGCCCGCCTCCCTTGACGCGAAGCAACACAGCGAATCGTCTCATGAAGACCTTATCTAAACTCAATCTTTGTGGGAATCCACAGGCAGGAGAAGGTGGTAGCCCTACAACACTCTCACCATCTGAGAGGGCAAAAACTGAGGATGGGAATGAGGAAGCTGAGGTTAAAAATGAACCCAAAACTCCCAAGCACTTCAAAGCCTCCCTGCTGGCTACAGTGAAAGAGGAGGTGCCTAGCAATCCGTTTGGTGTTGGCTTGGAACTTTCGGATGGCACTGCTGCTGAACAGGAAGCACCAGGCAGCTTTGGGTCTCAAGAAAAGGAGCAGGATGGTCCCTCCCTTGGTCATGCAGATAGCCTTCATGAAAAAGCTGCCACTGTCACCTCTTCTAGCCTTGAAAGCCGAGTGCCAGAGTCTACCAGCTGCGAACGTGAAGGTGACCCTGAGTTGCCATCTCCTCCTTCTACAGTGGACAAGGAGCCCTTTGTTCCAGTAGCAAACCGATCCATTGCCAGCCTCATGTTGCAGCAGAAGGACTCCTTTGAGATGGAAGAGGTAAGTCGAGAAGGAAGGGTGCGCATGTCTCCTTGAGCTTTCTATGCAAATGTTGGAAACAGCCGGTTAAGAGAATAGATTTGAAATGTGGCCGAAAGTAATTCTGAAGAGGCACGGCTTCATGCCTGAAAGTCATTGAGAGGCAGTGTAAACAGGCTGTCCTTAGTGATGATTTTAAATCCAGTGGTTTAGAAGGAACTATTGTTTACCTTGGCTGACTGTACTGTTGATCTAACTAGGGATTTAAGTCAAAGCCTGAAACCTGTGATCAAGAGGAAGTGGGAGGGGCTGCTGTGAAGGAAACTTGTCCCTGGAAGCCTGCTGTTGATCCCTTAAGGCAGGAGTCTTAAAGGACAGAGGAGGAGGTGACCCTTCAGATGTTGCAAGACTAGAGCTCCCATCATTTCTTGCCATTGGTCATGCTGACTGGGGGTGATGTGAATTGCAGTCCAGCAACAGCTGAAGAACCATACAGTCCACACCCATGAATTAAGAGAGAGTGCCTGGTGTTATGTCTGATGCTCTTAAAGGGCTTATTTCTAACCACATCTTTTGCTTGCTGCACCTTTTTTGTGGTTTGAATTAAAGACTTTCTTAACCAGTGGGTTAGCCTGTTGCATTTTGAATTGGCGAATAGAGGTTAAAAATAGCTCGAGCTGCAAAACAAAAGCTTTTTTTAAAAAAAGGGTACCATACCCTGTATTCCTTAAAAACGGAGCAATGAGAAGTATATACATCAGTGGCATCTCTTTGCATGAAATCTAGCCCAGAAATGTGTGTCACCTGTTGAGAATGAAGTACCAAAAGTGTATATTCCTCCATTTACTCAACTTTTCATTAGCTGCCTTGCTTTCCCTGTTCAGCTACTGTCCCGGGACTTGAAGCTTTACATTGGGGAAAGGCATGCACATTTGTTTTGAATAAAGCATGGAAAAGTTATTAGCTTAGACTAAAACTCCCAGCATGTTGCAGCCATGTTGACCAGGAGATTTTGGGAGCTCCAGCCACAAAATAATCTTCCCATCCTTTGCTTTTGTTTGCATGAAATCCTTGGTTCAGTTTCTGATGTCTGTAGGTTAGATGAGTTTGGATGGCAAAGGATAGGAAAAATGTGCGGCTGAAACCTTTCTGAGTAGTAGTTGCTCTTGGATAAGGCAGTGCTCTCTAGGTGTTCTGAACTAAAGCTCCCCTAGTCCCGTAATGGCCATGCTGGGTAAGGCTGATGGGAATTGCATGACAAAATGCATGTAGATACACAGGAGTAACTCAAGTTGTGAAAAAAAGAAGCTTCTTTATAGAAGAAGACGGTGTCTCAAATTATAGTGCCCCAAAGTTCCCCTGCCTCTGCAGTTGTGGGTTGCATGGAGCAACAGATCCCTTCATTGTTAAGGCAGTTGCTCATATCATAGTGCATCTCAGAGTTATGTTTTTAATCCGCGTGGCCCAAAATGGCTTCCAGTCATGGCTCTGGAGGTGACTTAACATGGTTGCCTTCATGCATCCAAGTCCAGGCATTCAGGATAAATACAGTACACATATATTTTCAATGCCTGCCTTTATAGTTGTGCCGCACCACAACCAAAACTTAACTGTCTTTTGCGATAACTTAGTCTCTCTCTCTTTCTCCTTTGAGCTGTATTTTTTTTTTTGTGTGGGGAGGGTACTCTAGGTATCCATTAGACTCTATAGGGGAATCTCTCTCTGAACTACCCTATCCATAGACCACTGGGGCAATTCCCTTGAATCAGTGGAACTGAGGGGGCATTACTGTCTTCTTCCAAACTAATAGATGTGGGGGAAAGCACTATAAAGTTGTAGAAAGACATTGCTTTTCTTTCTGGTTTCTTTTCTCCCATTTCCAGAATTCTGCCTAGGAGGTTCTAGATAATTTCTGGGTCTCGAAGTCTCATTGCAGCCTTCTCCAACCTGGTCGCCTCCAAATGTTACACTATAACTCCCATCACACCCCTTGCCAGTGTGGCCATTATAGTCTTAACACATCTGCCTCTACTCAAGAATTTCTTATGGCACCAGGTTGGGAGAAAGCGGATACAGTATATTTATACCTTGCCTGTCTTCCACACAATTCATGACAGCACATATGGCAAGACTGAGGAAAGTGTGGTTCTCCCGTTGCTTTGGCCTTCTCGTATCAGAAGCTCTAGCCAGCATGGTCTGTGGTAAGGGATAATGGGAGTTGGAGTTGTGGTTTAAAATACCTGATTGGCCATCGATTATCCATGCCTGTCATTCAGAAGGGCTCCGACCAAGGCATTGAATATATGCAGGAAGCTTCAGGCAGAAGTCTGAGTGAGCAAAGAACAGCTTGTGTGCTGAAACGACGATGAAGTCTTGGAAAAGAACATCTACATTCTGGTCTTCTGGGTTTTAATATATGGGAGTGAGAAATCTAGCTTTTTCCTAGAGAAGTAAAAAAAAATCTTCACATGCAGGAACACATAAAACAATCACAGGGTATTTGAGGTGACCAGGATTCGCCATGTTTTCTGTTTCTCTTCCGCAGCTTTTCTGTGGAATGTTTTCATAAGACATAGTGTGGCAAATACGTGAATATGTGTTTTCCCGTACTATCCTGGAGCCTTTGAGGTTTGTGCTTCTTGAGGAAGTCTGTTGCTGTCAAGATAGCCAGCATGGGAGCATGAGTCAGGGCAAAGTTTCCTCAGGAGCCCTGGTCTCTTTGCTCTTGGCCCAATCAGATGCTCACTGAGCCCGCATTCCATGTTGACATTGGCCAAGGAGATGGCCGGCTGGCTGGGTGGAGTAGAGTGGGGTGGAGTGGAGTGGGCATGGGCTGCATGTTAGCAGAGTACAAATGCAGGCAGGGCACAGATCCTGTGGTCCAAACAAGGACAAGTGCTGGAAGATGATTAGCGCTTCCCCCCTCCCTGCAAGAAAAGCAAAGCAAAGATAGGGAGAAGCAGCAGCTCAAGGATAGCCACTGGAAGCAAGAATCAAGGCAATGTTTCTGAAAACCCAGACCTAGCAAAGGGCTTGTAAGATGTACTTCATATCCAATATCTGTTTTACTGATTATGTTGCCTCGCGTGAGCACAGCTGTGATTTGGGTTTGAGTCTTCGTGCTTTTGTTTTAATGTTAATGAGAAATGTGCATCTCTTGCTTGTATAGTTTGATTGTATGACTCGTATGTTTTCCACGATGCCACCCTTGCAAACTAACTTCCTGAATGGGTAGACATCTTGGAAGTTGAGTTGTCCTTAAGAGCCTTTAGTTGGTTTTTTTGTTGCTGTCCTTCAAATACGTTTTCCAACCTTCATATTGTTTGAAGAGGTATGGTTTCAACCGTGAGGATAGTGGGCACCGATACTTGGTGCAGATCTATGCCATGACATGCAATGGGATGCCTCTGCTATTTAGAAGGCAGGGAAGTTCAGATTCTCAACGAAATTACCTTTTTCCTATCTCTTGAGATATATTGAAAGACAAAAGGCACTTGACCTCAGAAATTCATAGATTTGTATACCTTGTGGTAGCTTTCAAAAAAATGAAGTACACATGAAATTGCACATGTTTTTTTAAAATGTTGATGGCTAAAATTTTCACAGTTGAAAAATAGGCATAGGTGCATTTCAGTCAGTCAAGGAAATGAATACAAAATATGCATGCTAGAAGTGTGTAATCAAATGTACACATTACGGGAAGTGCAGATAGACAGTGTGTACATTTCCATATAAGCATTAAAAACCCACAAAGTCTTGCAAAATAATGCAAATAAAGGACGAGTCTGGAATCGCTGTGGGTTCAGAGAAACAGGACTAAATTAGAAACTGAGTTTTCCACACCTCTATCCATTACATATATTGATTAGTCCAGAACTGGTGGTTTCGTGGGGTTTATGATTCAGCCATTCTGCTTTAGTAACTGTATTGTTTCCACAAAGCTTGAAAACTTGTTAATAGAAGCATGTGTAAGAACGCTAAATGTATCCAGATGACTTATGGGGAATTACTGTATCCATGCCTGTGAAATGCAGATATAATATACAATAAGGTTTGTGTTAACCTAATGAAAGTGACATTTTTGCAGTGTTGGTAATACAGTGATGCCTCGCAAGACAATGGTTTTTTGCAATTGTGGTGGCACTTTGCAAGATTATGTTTTCTATGGAAGATTTAGACCGATGCTTCCAAGATGGTTTCCCCCCCCAATTGGAACACATTAATTACATAAGACCTATTTTTTAATCCCAAAAAAGTGTGGGAGAAAGTGTATGCTGTTGGCTTTCTAGGAGGCAGATCCTGGAAAGCCAACAGCATGCACTTTCTCCCCCACTTTTTTTGGGATAAAAAAAGTAGGTCTTATGTAATTAATGTGTTCCATTGGGGGGGGGGAACTATCTTGCAAAGCATCACCAATGGGGCTGTGGCTAAAAATTTAAATGATACAGGATGGTGAAAATATATCTAGCAAAGCATCACCAATGGGGCTGTGGCTACAAATTTAAATGATACAGGATGGTGAAACTAGCCAGGAACCAAAGGATAAAGAGATTCTAAAAACACCGTAGAAATCACAAATGCAATTCCCCACTAACACAAATTATGCAGTTGAGTTCCCCACATTTGGGGAAATCACAGGGATCAGCACACCCAAAGTGCAATGGAAGAGCCTCACCCTGGAAAAACCACTTTCATGACCAGGGTATTTCCCCTGCAAGGTATGAGTTGGAGTGGCCTTTGCACCTTCTACCCCCTTGTATTAGCATAAGGTATTAGCATATGCTAATACCTGTGCACGAGGAACACCTAGCCCCTGATGGGGATTGCTTTTCCCCAATATGGTAGATTTCAGTGCATTCGTATGGGAAACTGTGTTTTCCAAGGCAATGTTTTCTATGGACAATTTTTGCAAGACAGTGATTTTTCCCCCCATTGGAATGGGGAATCGCATTTCGCAAGACGATGTTTTCACAAGACAGCGATTTCTGTGTGGGTATGAGGTGCAAGGGCCATCTAACTAA